TCTTCTGAGCTAGAAGAAATTAAACGCCATAATGTAACTATGGAAAAGCTTAGACTCAGGGAAATCGAGGCAAAACTAGAGGAAAAGCTATTGCTGTGGGAGACAGAGGAATTAAAGGTACAATCCAAATATGCAACTAAATAACAATGTTAATCTTTTAATAGTTTTGGTAGTCTTTTAAGAGTTTTGATGCAATGAAACGTGATTTTATTATAGAAGGTTGATTTTTTTTTTGTTTCGAGAATACGCATACAGTTACTTACAGAAGTATTTATTAATTTTCAATTAAAATACAGCTCATTCTATAGCAATAACTATATAAATCAATCTTGCAAATTTTGAACAAAATTCGCAACAGTTCTTCAAATTTCATAAAAGTTTCAACTTTTCAAACTTTTTAATCATAACTTTTAGATTTTTTTTTTTAGTATGCAGTTTTGCAGCCGATTCTATTTCAGTGTAGTCAATACGCGAATAGGACTTATCGTTTATTTTTGGCAATTTTTTTGTTGACGGTGTCGCCCGTTTTCTTCCATATAAAAATAAATTTGGTTCGGGCGTTAAAATTGCCAAAAATGAACGATAAGTCCTATTCACGTAATGACTACACTGAAATAGACTCAGCTACAAAACTGCATACTCCAATAAAATTCTTAGGGCTGGTTTCTCCAACTCAACTTAAACTTAGCTTGGACTTAGTCAAGAATAAGGTGATTAAAAACTAGGCTAACTTTTGGCGCAGGTTAGCCTAGATGGTGAAAATGAATAAGTCCAAGTTCATTTTCACCATCTGGACTATCCTAAGCCAAAAGTTAGCCTACTTTTTAATCAGCTTATTCTTGACTAAGGCTATCTGCACACTTGTCGTCCAATCATAGTTGCGTTATCGTCTCGCCCTGAAATTTTGAGCCGAGCACATGCATTTCAAAGGAGATCTGCACACTTGTCGTTATCGGCTAGTTATCGGCAAATCGTAGAAGATGCAGAAACGGATAAGTACGGCACTGTCGTTTGCTAATCGTTGTGCACGCATTGTTTGTTTACATTTTATGGGGGAAAATTAGTGAAAAAGTTAATATTTGCATTAAAATTGTATAAAAATTAGTATTTTTTTGCATAAAATCTGTGGAAATTATTAAAAAGTGGATAATTGCATTAAAATTTAATAAATATGAGCGTTTTAACTATAAAATATGACGAAATTGTATTAAGTCTCTGTGTGCATACACAAAACACATTCCAGGAAAAGAAAAGAAGAGATATTACTGGAAAATTACGTCTAGAAATGTTGCAGCACAGTCTATATTTAAAAAATTGCAGGTTTTTGTAAATATTTCGCGAAAATATCAACCAAAAAAAACAGAAAATACCTGCTCCAAGTGAATTTTTAGACGCCAAATGAATTGAAATATCACGACCAAGTGTGCAGAAGTGTAATCGTCATGTAATCGTTGCTTCATGACGATAACCATGATACAATAATTTTTAGAAGGTAGTTTCACTTCTTCTTCTTATCCGCCATGTTAGCTATCTGACAGAAACCGTGTTTCGTATTTTTTGTTGTACCAACTTTTTCAAAAAAAAATCCAGCTTTTGACGTTGGAAAAATAAAACAAAGAAAAGCCAAACATATAAGTAGAGAAATTTTCGAATATTTTGTAATAATTTTCTTCATAAAAAATTAACTGCTGCTTTCGTGGATATTGCAACAAACAGAATAGATGTAAGGACACAGCTATAAGAGCCACCGCACACCACAGACTTTATCGGCCGCCTATTTAAATGATAGAGCTCGCTTGAAATATGTACATGGAGATGTATGGAGGTGCGCACATTATACCAGCTTAATCGCTCTGACCAATAAGTTGTGGTGCAATGGAAAGACTAGCGAGCACATCTAAATTGGCGGCCGATAAAGTCCGTGATGTGCGATGGATCTAATCCATTATAAAAAAGAAATATTGCTGTTATATTTTCATTTTTATGATTTTTATTCATATGATTAGCAGTGGCAATAATGTATGTATAAAATACGTATATTTATATTAAAAATTAAGTGAGCAGTTATGAAACATATAAATCTTTACATGTTCTGTTAAAAAATATCTAAAATAACAAGCGATAATCCCCAAGTTCTATATCGTAGCAATGGCCACATTTCGTGTTTGTCACAGACACGGTTTATGTCAAAAATTTTGAAGTGAAACTACCTTCTAAAAATTATTGTATCATGACGATAACTATGACTCAACTATGATTGGACGACCAATGAGCAGAAAGCCTAAGTGTGAACTAAGTTAAGTTGAGTTGGATAAATCGGCCCTTAAAGTTCTGATTAAAAAGTTTCAAATTTCGATAATTTTTGAAATTCAATGAATTGTTGCGAATCGTGTACAAAGTTTGCAAGATTGATTTCTTATGTAAATACTTACACCCAAATTCATAAAAATAAAGAAGACTTAAATTGCTTTATAAATCGAAAACTTGTATGAAAATGTCACTTTATAAAGCTCTTTAAACCTATTTTATTTTTCATGAATAAGGACATTAGTATTTACGATTACTAAGAAAATGAATTTTTTTTTTTCGTTTTATTGGCAAATATGTGTTTGTTAAAAATTATACATTTGTTGCCTTTCAATTTTTTTCTTCAGCAGCTTTAACAGAGGTTATTTTATAGAGTGCTTGCAATTCTATTTCTAATGCTTTGGGCTACATTTAAGTAGGGGGGCGTGACCACTGATATGACTTCAGCGTTCTCATTATATTGGGTGAAAATTTCTGTTCTTTCTTCGATTATGGTTAAGGACGATTTAAAATATATACATATGTTGTGTAGCGCGCAACACACATTTACAATTTTCGCTGCTTGTTTTGGAGTATAATGTAACTCCCTTGCTCCAAGAATACACCTCCATCGGTTTTTCAATACTCCGTTAGTTCGTTCTATAATATTGCGGCATTGCGAGTGAGCTTCGTTGAACTTCATTTCCGACGAATCATCTCCTGGTGATCTGTAGGGCGTCAAAAGCCATGGCTCCAATGGATAACCGGCACCGGTCTAATTTCACATTCACTACATTTACCTAGAAGCCAAAACTTTCCTGAATTCCGCAAATACTCTTGTTCGAAGTGAATTCTTAATGCACTGTTGTTCCACACAAAGGAGTCGTGAGAGGCACCAGGATGCGAGGCGTCTACATATTGAATTCGAAGCTCATGGTC